TTCTCATCTCACCAAGTCTCAGGACCATATTTATCTTCTGGTATTAGTATTACAAAATCTGCTTTGTTGACCACCTATCTTGTGGGCCTGGAAGCCTTCAGTATGGAAGAAGCCAGTGTCTACAACCTAGCAGAAAAGGGAAATTTGGTCAATGCAAAGCTGTAATCAGGGAGATCTAAAAAAGATAGCTTAATAACATGTCTCCTGGTCACTGAAAACTGAAAGACATTACAACTGCACAAGAAAGGCTTTAGATGTGTACTGTCTTCCTTTAGGGGAACACAGCTCATGCACATCTTAAAGTAAGGTATAATGTTTAACTCCATTTGCTGTCATTTATAATTTCTGCCAAAAGTGGATTATGCATTTTCCTACATTCTTAAAATGAAACATACTGGTTACCATTTAATCTCTCTTAATAAATCACAGTCATCCTTTTGATGTACAAGCTGTACAATCATGAAGAAATGTCTGCAGGGGTTATTTGATGTGCAGAGTTGCCTGCCCTGCCATAGAATGGCTCCAGGCTGCTATGTGTTTTTTTTTTTTTTTTTTTTTAAATTCCCCATATTTTTTTTCAAAATGGTTTATCTCTCTCCTCCCTTGTTGTCAAGCTGTCAGTCAGCTGTCACTTTTTACTGCTGTCAGTGAGACTGCCTTTATCACACCCCCAATTTGATGCTGCTAATCTGCTGTCAGCTGAAAAATCAGATAATCAAGACCTCCGAAATTGCATTTACAATAAGTGGTGGGCTGAGCACCGGATGAAGATTTTGAGATACAAGTTCTAGTTCCTGCTCTGCCTATATCTAGCTGTGTGATTGCCAGAAAACATATAACTTCTCTGGGCCTTGGCACCTTCATCCATAAAATAAGGGGAGTGTGTGTGTGTGTGTGTGTGTGTGTGTGTGTGTGTATCAGAGACAGAGACAGATCTCATCCAGACCTGAATCCTAAGTTTCTTTGGCTGTGAGAATACACATGAAACTTTTCTGTGACTTAATAGAATGCAGGGTGGATGCCACTGACCTTTTAATGGTCAAATTCAAGGACGCTTTTTAGTCATCACTTTACTTAACCTCACTGCTGTGAATTCACTAATGATTATCTCCTTAGAACTCTCTCCCCTTTGTTCCACAGGATAATTATTTCAGCGTTGACCTCCTGACTCTTACTTATTCTTCTCACTTCAATCTTGGGCTCTTCCTCCACCAACCCCTTAAGTGTCAAGAATGCCAAAGTGGCTTCAATGTAAAAAAGTCAGGACGATGATGAGGAACCCAGCAAAGGAGCCTGAGAAGCAGCAGTCTGTGTGAAAATCAGGGGACTATGTGTGCTAAGACAAGTGAAGAATGTGTCATGGTGTGTCAAATGCTGCTGCTATGATAAGTAAGATGCGGACTACAAACTGAACACAGGATTTAGAGACAGTGGTGACCCTGACTAAAACAATTTCAGTGGAATACTTTTCACTCAAAACAGGAGGAAGGAACAAGTATAAACAACTCTTTTAAGAGGTTTTGCTACTAAGAGAAGGAGAGAAATGAGGTAGTAGAAGGGGGAAGTGGAATAGGGAGAAAAAAAAAGTTTAAGATGAAAGAAATAGTAATAGTTTTATATGTTAATAGAAATAATTCAGACAAAAGAAAAATAAGAATAATTCAGAAGAAAGGAAAACTGATGATGCAGAATAGACCAGGAAAAACTGCCAGGACAATAGGCCTTGAGTATGTGGGATGGATGAGTTCTGGAAAAGTGGCGATGGAGCTTACACAGAAGCGAGGTCAGCTCATCCCCAGTAACAGGTGAGAAGATGGAGAATATGCACCCAGAAGAAGCACATAATTGGGTGGACCTGGTAGTATCAATAAATAAAAGTTGTCTTCTGATTGCTTCTATTTCCTCAGTCATCAGCTGAGAATGAAGATAGAAGATTTGGTACTGGAGTGTTCTTTAAAAAGTAGAAGGCATAATTATCTAGAAGAAGGGAAATGCTTGCCAGGTAGCTCAAAGAGCCCATCTGAATCTTAGGAGTCATACATTTAGAACATGCTAATAAGTATGACATGCTTTTCTCCAGTCATGTTTAGTCCATGATTATAGGAAGAAAGTGTATGAACACATAGATTTAAACAGACGAGGGTTTTTGCCAATCAAATATGAAACAAAAGGTGTAAAAGATTTGAGAGGATATGCAAGGGAGTAAACATAATGATGGAATAAGAAAGTTAAGCTGGACAAAGAAAGAGAAAATAGGACAAGAGTGAAATTAAGTTGGCTCAATCAATGGATGGTAGGGTCTGGTGAGGCCAAAGGATTGTTTGACTCAAGGTGATAAAGAAAATAAACAAAACCAGTCTCCTTATTTATATTAGATTCAGCTTTTAGGAGAGTAGTTCTCTTTTCATGTGTCAATTATAGGATGGTAAGGGGTGGAGGGAAGATAGTCCTCTATATTCAGATGCCAATAAATATGCTAGGTTATAAATTAATGGGGGGGTAATAAGATAAAATAACCTTTTATTGTGGGTCTACTGTATGCTAAGCACTATCCTAGGTACATGGTATACATTATTTCATTTAATCACTGCATCATCCCTATGAGATGGTTTAATCACAACCATTAACAAACCTAAGTGCAAGGTCATTCCACAGGTACAGATCACACAGCTAGTAAGTGGTGGTCAAAACTCAATACACGTATACGTGACTACGGCATCTAAGAGCTTTCCCATCCCAAAATATTCAATACAGATAATGAAATGTTTTCAAGGGAATACACTCTCTTGCTATTTATCTGGTCTTTGGGAGTGACGCAGGAGATGAGTGAGGAAGGCAAGAGGTAGCAGTACGTGCCATGAATCCAATATTAGCGAAACCACCGAAGTGACAGACATGCTCTGAGTTTTAACAGACAGAAACTCTAAAAATCTTCATTTATTTTGTTGGAAATATGGCTTTTCTCCCCTCTCTAATTAATATCCATTATATTATATAGCACAATGATTAATAATTTAACTGTATCTTCTGCTTTGTTTTTAGTTAAATTCATTTTTTCCCATGACCAAATAATATTTGGATTGGGAGAAAGATACAAGCCTTCAAATATATTTTTTAATCACCTTGGTTATTTTGCTTTTGGAATTACTAAATACTTTTCAACATCTCAACAAAATAATACGGTTTTGAAACTGCAGGCTTTAGAATGATTGTCATTCATGCAAATAATCACTTACTTACACTATATGAGTTTGGGTTGCATAAAGCAAATTACCATTTGAAAATAATTCAAATAACACTTCTTGCTTATGAATGTTATCTTGGCCACAATATTTCTTAACCTTTTTCTATTTAGCTAGATTCCTTTATGGTAATATCATCCAAATTAATAAACTATTCAACTGCCACAGGTATATTAAACATAAGATGTTGCAGAAACATATCTGATGTAAATGAATTTTAAAACATTTACTTAGAATTCTATGGCAGTAATAATTAAGAGGAGCTATAACCACCAACACACTTATAGATATACGTTTTGCCTATATGTGATGTTAAAAAACCTTAAAACATGTCAAAATATAAGGTTCATATTTTTTAAAATTCAGATATATAACTGCTCTAGTTAATCACAGGCAAAGTATAACTATTACAGTTTTCAAAAGTTGAAGTTCTCTCATCATACATAAGAAAACTGTATGCACAAATACATACAGATAATATACATAATTACATATATATTCTGAAAATTGCTTGTGATCATGGCTCCACTTAGCTTTACAGTTTTCAAAACAGCAAATAAATCATAAACTGTTTTTGACAAATGACCTGTAATGACAGGATGCTTGAATGGTAAGTAGAAATTGGAATCAGAAGTCATAAAGCCTAGATGTTAATCCAGTCTGTGACAATGACAAGGTGAATACAAGCCAATCTCTACTTCTCTGGGCCTCTGTTTTCTGTACTCTATAAAGATTAAGCAAGATGGTCTAACTTAAATTTTATGACTCACTAGCTTGATTTTCTATGGGGCAGATTTTTCTTCGGTGAAATATTAACAAATAAGACACTCAAATAAATCAGCAATAGGCGTGTAGATGAGGACTACCATTTCTACAGCAAAATATGGGTGAAGTCAGTAGTGCAGAACATAGAAGTTAATGCTGACCTCTTGCATAGCATGTTTGGATATTAAATCATTTCCTGCCTTCATTGCAGGGATGAGGATGAAACAGCTGTTCCTGAACTCTTTTAAGAAAGCAGTCAGTAAAAAACAGCAGTGTCTCCCGCTAGTGTGAGTCCCGCTGAAGTAAACTTTCTGTTCACAAGGGAGAAATATTCCTAGTGGTAGTAAAAACAGTTTTTCTAGGTTTAATCAAAAGTGAAAAGGAATTCCAGAATGTTCCCTTTGAGCCACATCATCCACTGCTAATTCAAGGTGGGCCCAGCAACAAGGGTAATAAAAAAAAATGTCCTTAGTAATTAAGAAAGAGAAATGGCAATTAGGTACATTTGTAAACCAATATAGAAGACTTAACTCTTTATTAAGGTAATATAAATAATTAAAAATAAAGAAAAAAATAAAAGAAAATAGTATGGGAAATGAATTAATCCAAGCAGTGAGATTTAACATTGACTTATCTAGACCAGTTATTATATATATAAATCAAAGGACATAAGCTGAATGCAAAGGTTGAGAAATATGCTTGACAATGACTTCTGTAACAAAAAAAATAAAGAAACAAAACACCAGGCTGTTTTGACAAACAAATAAATAAAAGGAAAGAAAGGAAGGACTCAATATCTGAACTATTTAGTGATGGGTTAGACACATGATGATTTAAAATCTTTGTAAATCACAGCATGGTAAGATAGAACTAAATTCTCTAATTAACCATACTTAGGCTGAAAAGTTAAAACTGGCATGAAGAACATCAATTTCTATACACTTAAGTAATAATTTATGACACAATATTGAGAACAGAGTCGAACATACTGACCTGCTCACATCAGGAAACCTGATGGGAAAGTAAATAACTTGGCACTTGGGTCTGATGATGCTTTCCAGATCCTTGGGTCTGTGATCAGGAATCAGCTTCATAAATTTTCCAATGGAAGTGAGAAATGATTCCATATTAAAAACTGAGTTGAATACAACCACATCAGCCACCAGGCTGTTAAGGTAAAAGACAAATGCAAATGATGAGCCCAGACTCATTCAGAGTAATTTTTATCAACCTAAGACCTCTATGGATTAATCAGAGTTTTTACTGCACCTTAGGTTTGCAAAGAACTCTTCATTTCACATCAGTATCTACCAAAATGTCTCTAAGAGCTAAGTTAGTTTCACTACTGTTATATCACAGGGAGTTGATTGGTGGCATCAGACTGGAAAGGCAATAGGGAAATGGAATGATTTAATGGGATTGCATGAGACTCCAAACCAAAGCATAATTTTCCACAATGCCAGGAACTTTCTATATTGTCAACAACATTAAGTACAGCAATTCCTTTTTCTTCATGGCCCAACTACCCATGTTGAATTTCTATGTCAGTGATGTGCATCGTTTTACACCATACTACCGAGAACAGAACATCTGTCACACTTCTCACTAACTTCAAGGAGACTAATTCAGACAAAACTATTTTCATACTAGGGCATGATACCTTCAGCACTATTTGGTTAAAGTTTACTTCTTGCTTTAGCCTTTACTTCAAGAACTGTGTTAAGTTTTTGAAATTTCTGGGACTACACAGAAAGGATTATGGTATCCCAAAATAATTTGTTTCACTATCATATTATATTATATTGGGCTAGCTAGAGAAATAGAAGAAATTGGTAGAAATGGATCCAGAAATCCAGATCACTAGGTCCTAACTGATTACATAAAGGTACATATAAATTATAAAGCACCGCAACACCATGGACCTTTGAATTCAACAAAATAAATGTAATAACACCAGTCCGCAACAACAATGGTTCAAACTTAAGATTTTTTTAACTTCACAATGGTGAAAATGTAATATACATTCAATTAAAACCATACTTCGAAACCTGAATTTTTATCTTGTCCTGGGCTACTGGTATGTGCACAATATTCTCTCACGATGCTGGGCAGCAGCAGTGAGGTACAAATCTCAGTGAGCCACATGATCACAAGGGTAAACAACCAATACTCTACAGTGGCCTGTGCTGCCAGATGATTTTGCCCAATTGTAGGCTAATATAAGTATTCTGAATATGTTGAAGGTAAGTTAGGCTAAGCTATGATGTTCGATAGGCTAGTTGTATTAAATGCATTTCAACTTATAACATTCTCAACTCACAATAATGGATTTACCAGGCTGTAATCCTATCCTAAGTTGAGGAGCACCTGTATACAAGATTAAAGGAACAAAGCAATTGGTTTTATTCTACCCTAAAAATGATAGATCAATACTACTGGAAAGAAGACATGTTATGTCCACAGGACTGCAGAACACCACAGAATAAGTAGAGCTTATAGAATAGGAATGCCATAGTCAATCGTCAGTTTCGTTTAAGTCATATTTGCTGAGACAGCCAAATTTACTATTACAACGTTAATATATAGCAGAATAAAAAATGAACAAAAAGAGTGTTGGCCTGCTACTCCCATGCCCCCCCGAAAAAAAAACTGATTTTCCATACAAGTATTGTTTATCAGTTGCTACCTAGTGCAAATTTGGGGGGTGCGGGTGATTACAACATGAATAATACAAAGGAATGTCACAGAAGTGCTGACACAACACTAAGCAATAAGGAAGCCAAGATAACAATATACCAAAAGTTGAAGGATGTTTTACAGCTAGTCTGTTTTCACCATATGTCACATATTGTAATAACGACCTACAGGTCATAATATACAGTTGTGACATGTGTTCATAAGTCAGAGGGTTAGTGAAACCACTGTTTAAGGTGAGTACTTATGTCAGTCATCTTTGAAGTCCTTAACTGCCACACAGTCAAGAAAGAAGTCTGACAGTGCCAAAAAAGCAGAAGTCAGCAAGAAAACTAAAGAAACATGTGAGGAAGCAGGAGTCATACTTTTCAAAGAGAATCTGAACAGGACTGCCTTTTGACACTCTTATTTTTCCTCTGGACAACTGTGAATCATTTTTTTCCCATTAAGAAGCCAACTGATGATGAAGTCCACTTCTCTTTCTCCAAGCTTGTCTATAAGTTTACCCTCTTGAGAAAAGCAATGCTGAAAAATCATGTACAAAACTTTTATAGTCTCATTGCCTATGAGCAAAAACAATGTTTTGTGAAAATGAGGGGGAATCGAGAGCTGAATTGTTTTTGACAGCTTCCCTCAAAGGGTATGTGACCCAACAACTTAACATTCTTAAAAATCCAGTCTATGCTAAATTAAAGATCCAAGATAGTTTACAGAAATATCCTTTTTGGTACATTTCCTCCCTGATATGAGTGGATGTAACTTCCATTAACTTTAAAGCCACCCGTAAAGGGAAAAATAGACTTAGTTTTTTTCCCAGTGATTTCTCAGGGGTAATAAACATACTATCTGAGGAAAAGAATGATGCTAATTCAAGAAATCAAAAGAATATTACAAATGTTTCCCATATTGATAAAGCACAAAATGATTTTATTTTCATTTTTAAAACATATTTTCCTTCTCTGCTTCAATATAAAGTATTTTAATTTTATTATGAAATTTTAAAACGGCTGCTTTTTTTTTATGAGACATTTGACGTGAAGCAGTTCCACTCTATTTTGATAGCACTGCTACTTCACAATTGAAGCAGCTTGTAAAAATGATTGTAGGAAAACATTCACAAAATGCAAACAACACAGAATTATTACTATATAGCGTTCTTCTATGTCAACTAAACTATGAAACATTCTTGCAAGAGTTGGGGGTCTGTATAAACACATCATCAAACCCAGCTGCTAATAGCTGTTAATAAAGATGAATAAAATGTACAAAATCACTGACAAACAGATTCTGTTTGACTGTTGCAGTTATGTGAATAGGATCCAATAGCAAAGCCATTTCAGAATTGTTATTAACTTCTTTCATTAACTAAGCTTCAGGAGATACACTTTGTCGAAGTAACAATAGAGAAGGACCATCACCTTTAAAATGTCATGGTATTTTAAGGCTGTGTCATTTCAGAAGACTCAATGAGGGAAAAAAGAAAGCACTACCTAAAGATTCATTTTCCATACTCGTCTCTGTCTTACAATAAAATAAAAAGGCGGGGGAGGCAAAACCCCAAGTTGCTCCATTATGCTTTAATTTTTATTTTTCTGTAAAACTCTATTTTGATTTTAGCTGAATACAGTGATCATGATTAGTAAGTAAGAGTTGACTAACTGCACTTTCTAAATGCCTTAAGCAATAGATTATGAAATCAAGGGGTGAAGGTCCCTGCCAACCTTTTAATTCTATTTTGAATGTTGTGAAAAATAGATAATTAGCTCAACATATAATTAGATTGTTACATATATGTATTTTTATAAAATGACTAGTGAACTTACATATACTGCAGAAGGAAGAATTGTTTAAATATCTGTACCTACCTTATGGTGTTTTTTAAAAAGGTGTATGGTAGTAGGTCTCCAGATTTAAAATGTAACCACCTACAAAGAAAAAGGTAGCAAAGGGCCAAATACAATGATACAATGTATACCTACCATGAAAGAATTTGGTTGTATCCATACTGGAAATCCCTCTCCTGACATTTCTTGACAGGATATATCAACTGGTTCTCGTGAAAATACAGAATCGTTTTCAGTTTCCCAAGGTCAGGCCGAAGGGCAGCCAGTTCGGTCAGGTTAAGCACTGAACTTGCAAAGAGGGTCCTAGGAAACAAGAAAATTGGGGTTTACTGTCCCAAGTATGTTTGAAGGGGTCATGCTTTGCTCTTCTCTCCTCTTTCCTCTTCCCACCCCAAGAAAAACACATCCCCTATAGGGACACATCAATAGTTGAGCCTTAATACCATGTAGCAGCATTCTAAGTTTTGATCTCTTAAAAAGCAGCTGCTTAGAACTATAAAGTCCCCGACTCTCACTGGTCTTCTCAGTGCAGTTACTGACAAATGTTTAAAAAAAAAAAAAAAGCCGGATGGATTTTATTGAAAAAGGCAAGAAAAGCTCTATCTGAAGGACAAATGGAACAAAGATAAGGCTGACTGGGGAATACTTTGCTTGCCAGTTTCATTACACTTTCCTTCTTTATGCAACCAACTACTGAAATTCAATGTATGAGCAGGAATGGCACATGTTCATGTTATGACATAAACCCTTTTGATTTATGCAATAGGCTTATCTAGTATGGTCTTTTTCTCTTGGCATGTTTTCTTACCCTCCCCTCACTTGTAAAGTATCTTACAATACTTGTATTTTTAAAAACATCTTTTCTTCTCCATTACTGGACTGCTAATGGTACCAGATGCATGATCTGTAAAATCCCTTAATAAAGCACAAATATAAAAATTTGATGAAAGGCTGATTCCTTATCTTTAGGGAAAAAGGGAAACTGAAAGCTTGCCTATCCATGTTTATAAATGAAAAAAAGTGTCAATTTACTCTCTCATTCCACATATATTTACTAAATGCCTACTATGTGCCAGGGTCTAACCAGGAAGAACAGAAAAGATGAACAAGACAGCTCAGCAGGATAAATGCTGCCTGTAATACAGACATACACAAAACATTAGAGAAACAAACAGAAAGCAATTCTAATTGTCTGGGACAACCTGGAAATGTTTCCCTAATGAGGTACCTATTGCATATGGACACAAAAGAGGGACAAAGTACAGGTCTTGAGCAGCTGAGGACATTTAGATGGCACAATTTTGATAGAATGCCACCTTTATAACATAATGTAACATAATTTGACCTTTATAGCTTTAATTCCCATTCTAAAAAATCAGGTTAAAGAAGGTTAAGAGTTTTTTCTAGGATCACACTGGTAGAAAGTGGCAAAGCAGAGAGACTTCTGGTCTTCTAAGAGCTCAAACTGCTTTTCATTACACCACAGATATGAATTGGTTGCGGACCACTTACATTGCAAGTGCTTTTTTCTGTACTTAATAAATACAAAATATCATCCTTGTTATTACCATGATTACAACTACTATAAATCCTCCCTTGCTGACAGGCCAAATGGCTAACTTCAGGTGTTTATACGATCTGCTGCACTAGCCTTTCACATAAGAAGAATGATTACATAATAAGTACATATATCACAAGTAGGAATTCAAGTGTCTTCTTCATGGGCTAAAAGAGGCACGTAAGACCAAAAGCCAGCAATTCCTCTTCAAACCTACATAGCTATATTAATGTTATAATTTATCTCTTTAAGGGAAAAAAAATCTTACCAAGGAGATGCATTTATTTTTTTAAACTTGTCTGGCTATACCCAAATAAAAAAAAAATTATAGCCAAACAATGCCCTATTTTGTCCAAACATATTCCCCCTACCACTATCACATATAAGCCTCTCTAAAACTTATATTGAAAATTCTGAAACATGAAGATATTTGCTTACCTAAAAATCTCATCTTCAGCAGACAAAGCAACAAAATATTAATTTCAAACAATACTTTCCTTAAAAGGGAATACATGGCAACCTGTAGGTCTAGTTACAGAGTAATCCTTCCTCCTCTCCTTCTATTCTTTCTTACTATCCCCATCCCTGACCATACATATTACTGGAAGCAATGAAGCCCATTCTTAATCATTATCACCTGGGCAAGCACAATTTTTTTTCACACACAAGGCAGAAAAATGCATTAAAAGAAGCCTTCATATGAGTTATTAATTACAAAAATATACCTTTTATGATGGGGAAATCTGGTAGAAACCAATTTAACCAAGTGATCAAACTTTCTATGACCAATAATGGGACAAAGTGATATCCTGTATTTCTAAATGTGATACATTGAGAAAGATACAAATCATCAGTGTAGTATTCCTGCCAAAAATGCCTAATCTGAATTTGGTAAGGAATAACCAGACAAATATTCTGCAAAATAATTCACTGGATCTCTAAAAATGCCATATCATAAAAGAAAAAAATCTAGATTAAAGGAAATAAAGACACCCAAAACAAAATCCAGTAAGTGATCCTTCACTGGATACTGGAAGGGGAAAGCACACCTAGTAAGGACATTATTAGGACATTAGGAAAAATCTGAATGTGGGCTGAATATAAGACTGCAAGTTTTTGTCAATCTTTAATTTATTAAATACAAGAATTTTATTACAGTTATGTAGGAGAATAATCTTATTCTTAGGAGATTCATGTCAAATTATTTAGATGTGAAATGCCATGTTGTCTGCAGTTAATTATTAAATAGTTCAGCCAAAATGCTACTGCTAATAATAAATATTAATATGTATATATTTACAGAGATAGAAAAATTAAAAATGTGCAAACACATTAACAATTGATTAATCTATGTGAACAGGTGTGTAGTAATTCATAGCTTCAGGGGAAGGGGAGAGTCTAATAAAAAGATTTCATGGAGCAAGACATTGTCCTACTGCAAATTTTGGGTAAGTTATACATTTATAAAACTACACATTTGAAGTAATAGGCATTAAATGGCAGTAAGTAGAAGAAAAAAGTTCTATATTCCATAAACAATAAACCCATCATATCTGTATTTCTAGCCATATTCCAACTGTTAATTTCTACATGAGGATTACCCTCAGGGTGAATTATCTATAGCTAATGTTTAACCGAGAGGAGCCCTTCACTCTATTTCTACCACATGTCCCCCTACCCACCAGCTTATCCACAACCAAAGAATCCAACCAGCCTTCCAAAGAAAACCTTCCAAATAAAAGAAGGCAATATATTCATATGAGAAATAACAATAATTTTTTTTTTTTTGAGATGGGGTCTCGCTCAGTTGCCCAGGCTGGAGTGCAGTGGCACCATCTTGGCTCCCTGCAAGCTCCGCCTCCCGGGTTCACGCCATTCTCCTGCCTCAGCCTCCCGAGTAGCTGGGACTAAGGCGCCCGCCACCACGTTTGTATTTTTAGTAGAGACAGGGTTTCACAATGTTAGCCAGGATGATCTCGATCTCCTGACCTCGTGATCCGCCCGCCTGGCCTCCAAAAGTGCCGGGATTACAGGCGTGAGTCATCGCGCCCGGCCAACAACAATAATTTTCATAATATTCACCATTTGAGACTGCCCATGCCAACACTTCTTTCAGTTTGTTTAATCATTAAAAGAAAATTCACTCTATTTGTATAACTAATCTTGAAATAACCCTCACTAGTTTTAAATAGTGGAAATTATCTCCATCATTTCTCTGCTTTTCTTGCTTGTAAAATGGTAAAGTGGTCACTAAGCAATTTCTCAAATATTTAGCTCAACAACATCCAAAAAGAAGTAATGAATATGCCCACAAAGGGAATGCAGGCAATCCATAGGCAATACAAAATTTAATAAATCAAAATTTACTACTATCAATTTTTAAAAGTTGATTATAATACAGTGAATGACATCACCTGATCAGCAGCTAATCCCCAGGCTACCAATGCTCATCTTGCCTCAGGTATTATTTAAGCAATAAATCCTAACAAGGTGCACTTTATCATCCCACAGTGTGTCTCTAGCAGGAAAGGACACAAGGTGATAGCAAAAACCACGAGGAACAAGGTTAATTCCTGACAGCTGCAGCTTGAGCACAAGTTAAATTGAACAGTTTATCTCAGCATGAAGATGTTATAAGGTTTTATGTTTACTATTTTTAAATTAACATAAAACCCAGAGAAAGCAGTTGAGCAATCTTTCACAAACATGACATACTACAATCACTGTATAAGCTGGATTAGTACTTATTACCATGCTACTACAGAATTAAGCTGTTTTTAGACCACCAAAGAGCTTTAAATTGCAACTTTTGTCTCTGTAAGAGAAACCTATATTTTAAATGTCTGCTAAATTCAAATTAACGGCTACATCATTAGCTTACCATTTCACCAAAAGTACAAGTAAGCTGCTACTATAATCGTCTAACCAAAATGGCTCTATGCTGCAAGCACATTAACACCATTCCATGTATTTGGGAATAGGACCTGTATACATGTTTCGATTGCTTCCAATATACATTGTATCTACATTTTAAGTCATATACCTTTAAGGAATCCAAAACAGAGAAACACAATGAAATTCGAAATTAAATATTTTATTCTTTTCTGCTCAGTTTGAATAAATCAGTTGTTTGCCTTTTACCCTATTTACTTAATATGTAAAAAGAAAAGCTGAAATATACCTAAGGACAGTAGTAGTGTGACCATCACCATCAAGATACACACTTTTATATCTTGAATGGTACAGAAGGGAAGTGAAATGAGTTAACAGAGGGCAAGCATTCAATATTCCAGCCACTGTCCATACATTTTAGTAATGATTCTTCATGGGCTAGGTCATCTCACTCTTGCCCCATGAAATCTTTTCAATAGGCACCCCTCCTCTCCTGAAGCTATTTATGACATAATGAGATAGAGTATACAATTTAACACAGATGCCAGTTTGGGCCGTGTTACCACTCATACACAGTTTCTTGCATGGCTTCAGGAGGCCTTTGACAAAAGAGTAAATTCTTCCAGCTTTGTCACTTTGCTCAATACCTAAACTCTTGGTCTAGATTCATGTTGCTAAGACTTATTACCTAAGCCTCGGTTCTTTCATTGTTTCTCGTGGGTTCCTGTTCCTTGATACCTACTCTCTAGGATCCTAGATCCTGTATTTTCTGTGATGCAGTATTTTCTATGATGACGAAAATGTTCTATATCTGTACTGTCCACATATGACTAGCTACATATGGCTATCGAGC